CCCCCTGATCATTTTTGTAAAAAAAGTGTTTTCAATAATGTGATCATGGCTCTCCACAAGTTCCTGTTTTGATGCTCTTTTGCCTTTTATCATCCCGATTTGTCCTTGTTCTGAAATCCGTTAGCACAAAATATCGACACTAACCTGGCATCTCAAATTCAATCTCTCTTCCATCAATGTGGTTTCCCTCGTTTTTTTCCATAATTATTTTCATATTAGTTGTTCTCCTTCATACCTCGACCGTGCGAATTTAAGCTTACTACTAGATTGGCTATTAGGTCTCATCGTTACTGTTGAAATGTTACCGTAAGTTCTATTCTAATAGTTTCTTTTCTTGCATTTCTTGTCTGTGGAACTCTCTTCCTGTTTCCTGCTTCCCTGACCCTTACAATCTTCAAAAATTGAAAATCAACGTCAATCTTGTCTTCCTGAAACTGTTGTTTTATTGTCATTTCTCCTCACTAAGTCTTCTCAATCTCTCTCACTCATAGCAACCGCTTGCGTCTTAGTGGCTTTATAGTCTTTCTTGGGGGGAAATGATTAAAAAAAACTCATCAATCCGTTTACTCACTCTTTCTTCCTGCTTCTCATGTAAGTGTTAATTTCTCTAGGTATTTTTCTCATTATTTCAGTTGACTCTTTCCGGTTGTACTTATAAGTTGCCTTGGTCTTCTTATTTACCTTAAGACTTCCTCATTGCTCACATGTTCTGTCCATGGCATTCATAGCATTTGTAGAACCACATCTCTTTCGCTTCAACTCTTCTTTATCTATAAGGAAATTGTCCAAAACTGCCATCGAAAAGATTAGTCGTACCTCGACAAGGTGCAATGGTTAGCAAGCTTGTCTCGCGAGAACAATTACAACTGAGTAGTGAGTTCGATCTTCACCGGGTTCTCCATACTTTCTGCTTTGTTCTAATTCTAAGCTACGCTTCGAGAATCATCATATAAGAGATTAGAGGATTGTCCAGTACGTTTTTTTTTCTTTTCAAACGATTTTTATTATTAATATTTTGCTTAGTTTAACTGACTTTTTTTTCTTTTCTCTTTTACTGATGGCGGTGTATTTTATTTTCTTTCAGTTGCTGCATATTCCTTTCTTCTTGCTTTCATTTTCTACTAAGAATTTCCATCTAATAATTCTTTCAACGTATTTTCTGGGTTTACCATCAACACAGTCATATTTGTGTATCTTATGTTTTTAAAATCATGTTCGCCTATAATAAATCCTAGTAGAACTTCCACTTCCCTTAGGATCTGTCTCGCCATAAAGCAGTGGTTAGCGAAGACTTTTCGCATGCCATGACAACAGAAGCATGTCCAACTTTTCCTGTCCGTTCCACGTTTTGGGTTTTTGGACGATAAAAAGCTTAGCAAATATCAATATTTATCGATAAATGTCGAGGTAATGGGTATGGATTTTTAAAACGAAAAATACGGCACGCGTTTTTTACAACAATTTGCTATGCGCTAAGGTAGCGGAAATAGAGAATATTTATTTCTTGCATTCGTAAAGAGATTGCTCAAAGAAGTTAAGCAAGATGAATGGCTCAATGATATATGCGCAGAAATTGAAATAATGAGTATTACGGATAAAGCAGATATGCGGAAAAGAAAAAAAGAACTAATACAACAAAAGACATGATCATACATAAAATCCAAGCCCGGAATACTAATAATAGAAAAAGAAAAAAAAAACACTTCAGAGATGGAATGAATACTGAGAACTCTTCCAGGAAAAAAGAGAACACCTGACAATACACAGAAATTTCTAAGGGTCAGAAATATTCAAATCTGAAGTGAAATCTGGCCAAATTAAATAAAAAGAAAGTAAAAGGGCTGCATATAATTGTGATAGAAATTCTGGTAGCTTTAAATGATTTAAACAAAATTACAGACATAATAAATGAAACAGTGATGATATAGCGGAAGACTTGGGTAGATCTATTTTCATAGCACTGCCTAAGAAACCAGGTGCAAACGAATGCGAACTCCATTGTACAATCAGCTTATGAGTCACATAAGAAAACTTATCATCCGAATTCTGATGAATAGAGAACGCAGTATAATTCAGACCGGAAATAGGATAAGAACAGTGCGGGTTCATTAAAGACACTGGAACAAGGAATGCGATATTTATGCTCAGAATGGTATTAGAAAGAGCAATACAAATGCAAAAGGATGTATACATATGTTTTAAAAATTGGCCAAACGCGTTTGATAAAATACGTCATAAAGAACTGATGGAACTTTTAGTTAGACTTCATTTATTTGGGGAAAGGATATTAGAAGAATCTAGAACTTATACTAGGAGGAGGAAAGCACCTGCAGATGGATAGAAAATGAATTCAATAAATACACAAAAATAGAAAGGGATGAGTCTTCTTACTGGATTTATTTAACATTTACAGCGAGGCAATTCTCAGTGAATTAGAAACCCTGCCAGGATTCATTATTGGCGGCCACAATCTTAATAAGATTATCTAGATGACACAGTGTTGATAATAGACACTGAAAAGAAACTATTAAAAAAAAAAACTTTTACAAAATGTAGTTGAAGGAAAGTGAGACAAAAGGATTAAACTTACTCTCGTAAAAGTTAATATAAATTAGTTCTTAACAAGAACTCTTTTAATCGAAAACCCTTAAGGGGTTCCAAATTATACTTACTCTCCTAAAGGTTAATATAAACCCTTTTGAGTCTGTCCCTCAGGCAGCTGGCTTTGGAACTAAGGATATCAACTAACCCTGTTGACAATACATCATCTGGTGATCCTTTGACACACTCCTACCCTAACAGACTAAATTTTCAACTGAACAATTGCAAAAAATGTTGAAATTATAACTTACAAGTAGGGAATTCATTGAAGACCCAATACCACAGTTCTCTGTTGATATCAACCCTGCTTTTCATTTGCTGCTATGAATTCTTCATTCCTGTGAAGGATAGCCCTACCAGTATTCATTAGTGGTAGCCATAATCTTAATAAGCTTATCTAGATGACACAGTGTTGATAGAAGACACAGAAATGAAACTATAAGAACTCCTGCAGAAATCATCCTGCTCCAGTCACCTTTTGGATCTTTGAAGAACTTGTACTGCATTGTTGTTCTGACTGTGGTGACTTTGAATTCCTCTACTAGGCTTCTGAAAGGAAGTTGCAGAACATTGGAATTCCCGTATAGGGCAGCGGTAGTCAAACTTTTCGGTAGACCTAACCATCTCCATCTCATCAATTGTACACTAATTCTTTTTTCTAATTGTTCTATGTGAAAAGTTGGGAATTCATAGATGGACAATGGCCATAGGATTTGGGGAAGAATGGCATGCTGGTAGATCCACGCTTTAAAGCGGCCAGGCAAGCTGGACTTACCAACTTAACCACATCTCCATCTCATGAATAGTACACTAATTCTCTAGTATCTGTGTATATTTCTGAGATGAGGTATTATGTACACTATTTACATTATTCGGACTATGGTCCTCATCTTTGTCGCCAGGTTTATCACAACGTTTATGCCGTTGTACGCTCCGGCCTTCTCAATGACACACGACACAGTGGATTGTGTTGGTTAGATCCAGTGACAGGACCCAAAGAGCGTGAGTTCAATACCTGGTTAAGGCAGTGGCGAACTTTCAGAGGGGATTTAACAGGAGATAACTGACATCCATTAGACATGGCACGTGGAACTAGAACAGTCCAGCCCAGTGAGCGAAATAAAGGGTTCAGTTCAACATTCCAACCACCTGAAGAAGGCCGGAGCGTACAACGACCGAAATGTTGTGATAAACATGGCGACAAAGATGAGGAAAATAGTCAGAATAATGTAAATAGTGTACACTAATTCTCTTTTCTAATTGTTCTATGTGAAAAGTTGTGAATTCATAGATGGACAATGGCCATAGGATTTTGGAAAGAATGGCATGCTGGTAGTAAGGATTCATTACTGGTGGCCACAATTTTAATAACATTTGATACGTAGATGACACAGTGTTAATAACAGACACAGAAAGGAAACTACAAAAACGCCTACATAAAGGAAAGTAAGAAAATAAGACAATACGAAAAACGCCAATACGAAAAAACGCCTACATAAAGGAAAAATGTAAGAAAATAACATACAATAAGAAAATAAAAAACGAAAACTACATAAAGGAAAAAATAAGACAAACGAAAAGACAAATAAGACAATACGAAAAACGCCTACATAAAGGAAAGTAAGAAAATAAGAAAACGAAAAACGCTACATAAAGGAAAGACAAATAAACAATACGAAAATAAAGAAAGTAATACAAATACAAAAAAACGCCTACATAAAGGAAAGTAAGACAAATAAGACAATACGAAAAACGCCTACATAAAGGAAAGTAAGACAAATAAGACAATACGAAAAACGCCTACATAAAGGAAAGTAAGAAAATAAGACAATACGAAAAACGCCTACATAAAGGAAAGTAAGAAAATAAGACAATACGAAAAGTAAAAAAAAAGAAAAACCCTACATAAAGGAAAGTAAGAAAATAATACGAAAAACAATAAAGAAAAGAAAATAAGACAATACGAAAAACATAAAGGAAAAAATAAGACAATACGAAAAACAAAAAGGAAAGTAAAATAAGACAATACGAAAAACGCCTACATAAAGGAAAGTAAGAAAATAAGACAATACGAAAAAGGGAAAGTAAGAAAAAAGACAATACGAAAAACAAAAAATAAGACAATACGAAAAACGCCTACATAAAGGAAAGTAAGAAAATAAGACAATACGAAAAACGCCTACATAAAGGAAAGTAAGAAAATAAGACAATACGAAAAACGCCTACATAAAGGAAAGTAAGAAAATAAGACAATACGAAAAAAGTAAGAAAATAAGACAATACGAAAAACGCCTACATAAAGGAAAGTAAGAAAATAAGACAATACGAAAAACGCCTACATAAAGGAAAGTAAGAAAATAAGACAATACGAAAAAAAATAAGACAATACGAAAAAACGCCTAAAGGGAAAGTAAAGAAAAATAAGAAAACGAAAAACGCCTAAGGAAATACGAAAAAAGACAATACAAAAAGGAAAAGAAAATAAATAAGACAATACGAAAAAAGACGCCTACATAAAGGAAAGGAAAGTAAAAAATAAGACAATACGAAAAACGCCTACATAAAGGGAAAAGTAAGAAAATAAGACAATACGAAAAACGCATAAAAGGAAAGTAAAAAATAAGACAATACGAAAAAACGCCTACATAAAGGAAAGTAAGAAAATAAGACAATACGAAAAACGCCTAAAGGAAAGTAAAAAATAAGACAATAAAAACGGAAAAAAGTAAGAAAAATAAGACAATACGAAAACGCCTACATAAAGGAAAGTAAGAAAATAAGACAATAAAACGAAAAAGCCTAAAAGACAAAAGAAAAACGCCTACAAAAGGAAAGTAAGAAAAATAAGACAATACGAAAAACGCCTAATAAAGGAAAGTAAGAAAATAAGAAAACGAAAACGCCTACATAAAGGAAAGTAAGAAAATAAGACAATACGAAAACGCCTACATAAAGACAATACGAAAACGCCTACATAAAGGAAAGAAAAAATAAGACAATACGAAAAACGCCTACATAAAGGAAAGTAAGAAAATAAGACAAATACGAAAACGCCTACATAAAGGAAAAAGAAAATAAGACAATAAAAAACGAAAATAAGAAAATAAGACAATACGAAAAACGCCTACATAAAGGAAAGGAAAATAAGAAAAAACGCCTAAGAAAATAAGACAATACGAAAAACGCCTACATAAAGGAAAGTAAGAAAAAGACAATAAAAAAACGAAAAAGGAAAGTAAGACAATACGAAAACGCCAAAAGAAGAAAAACATAAAGGAAAGTAAGAAAATAAGACAATACGAAAAACGCCTACATAAAGGATAAAGAAAGTAAGAAAATAAAAACGAAAAAAGGAAAACGTAATAAACAAAAGAGACAATACGAAAAACGCCTACATAAAGGAAAATAAGAAATACGAAAAAAACGCCTACAGAAAATAAGACAATAAGACAATACGAAAAACGCCTACATAAAGGAAAGTAAGAAAATAAGACAATACGAAAAACGCCTACATAAAGGAAAGTAAGAAAATAAGACAATACGAAAAACGCCTACATAAAGGAAAGTAAGACAAATAAGACAATACGAAAAACGCCTACATAAAGGAAAGTAAGAAAATAAGACTACATAAACGCCTAAGTAAAAGGAAATAAGAAATAAGACAATACGAAAACGCCTACATAAAAAAGGAAAAAAAGTAACGAAAATAATAAAGACAATACGAAAAACGCCTACATAAACGAAAAAGGAAAGAAAAAATAAGACAATACGAAAAACGCCTACATAAAGGAAAGTAAGAAAATAAGAAAATAAAAACGCCTACAATACGAAAAAAGACAATACGAAAACACAAAAAGGAAAAGAAAATAAGAAAATAAGGACAATAAGAAAAAAAAACGCCTACATAAAGGAAAAGAAAAATAAGAAAATAAGACAATAAGACAATACGAAAAACGCCTACATAAAGGAAAGTAAGAAAATAAGACAATACGAAAAACGCCTACATAAAAAATAAGAAAGTAAGAAAATAAGACAATACGAAAAAATACGCCTACAAAACGCCTACATAAATAAGGACAATACGAAAAAAACGCCTAAAAAGGAAAGTAAGAAAATAAAAATAAGACAATAAAGAAAAAGAAAATAAGACAATAAAACGCCTAAAAACGCGTCACACATAAAGGAAAAATAAGACAATAAAACGCCTACATAAAGGAAAATAAAATAAGACAATACATAAAGGAAAGTAAGAAAATAAGACAATACGAAAACGCCTACATAAAGGAAAGTAAGAAAAATAAGAAAATAATAAAGGAAAGAAGAAATACGAAAAACGCCTACATAAAGGAAAGTAAGAAAATAAGACATAAAAACGCCTACAAAGGAAAGTAAGAAAATAAGAAAATAAAAGACAATACGAAAAGAAAATAAGACAATACGCCTACATAAAGGAAAGTAAGAAAATAAGACAATACGAAAACGCCTACATAAAGGAAAGTAAGAAAATAAGACAATAAAGGAAAAACGCCTACATAAAGGAAAGACAAATAAAAAACGCCAATAAAGGAAAAAAAAATAAGACAATACGAAAAACATAAAGGAAAGTAAGAAAATAAATAAGACGAAAACGCCTAAAAAGGAAAGTAAGAAAATAAGATAAAGGAAAAACGCCTAAAAAATAAAATAAGACAATACGAAAAACGCCTACATAAAGGAAAGTAAGACAAATAAGACAATACATCCAAAAGACAAGAAAGTATGGTTGTCAGCAAAAGGAGCGGCCCAACGTGTAAATTACAAATTTCAGACACCGAAATCAAGCAAGTCCAAAAATGTAAATATCTAGGAAGTGTTTTAACAGTGGACGGACAATGCGAAAATCCGAAGGCGCATTTTAGATAGCAAAAGATGCCTTCCAAAATCTAAGCAAAACAGGAAAATATCGTTAGGAACAAAGAAAACAGGACTGCAATGTTATGTAATATCAGTCCTCCTATATGGCAGTGAACGCTGGACAATCTCATCACAGATGAAGAAGAGACCTGAAACAACAGAAATGTGGCTCTACAGAAGGGTGCTGAGAATACCATGAACTGAATATGGACGAAGTTTTAGAACATAGCAACGACGAAATTTTAGAGAAAATGAAAACAAAAAGGTCACTTATACTTAGCATGAGAATGATACAATTAACATTTCTAAGGTACGATGAGGAAAGAGAGTTTAGAAAATTTGACACTCATACGACAGATTGAAAGCAAGAGGAACAGAGGAAAATAACGCATAACCTACCTAAGTAGCTTCTGTCAATGGTTAGCAGAAAAGGGATTAGTAAAGAGAAGAAAAAGACAAACTTTAATAGGGGCTAAAAAGGAAAGGAAATAGTAGAGAACCATGATTGCCCAAGTTAGAAAGGGAGAAGCACACTTTTTGAGATTTGAAATTCAAAGTTATGTTTGGACCTACATATGCTTGCTATATTAAAACTTTTGCGGTGCTGAATTCAGTGAGACCAGTTCCAGTTCCATTCCTGTTCATTGTATTCACTTACGCGCAAATAGCATTGGAAAAGGTATCAATTCAACTCTTCTCCCCCCAACAATTCGCTAAAAATGAGCATACATGGTGAAAAAATGCCCAAAACTTAATAAAAACAAAATTTTATCGTCAAAATATTGGTGCTATTATTTCGAAAGACTAAAGAATTTTTATGCAATTTTTTTTTTTTTTTTTTCGAAACTTCGAAATTTGGGTCAAAAATCTATTTTATAATCATAGAACCAAAATTTTTACGGGATATTTGAGCTTCATTTGACCTCGAAAGAACTTATTTCCAAGCGAATGAAATTATTTTTGAAATGCCTATTAGTAGTACTTTTATCAGTAAATCATTATTATTTCCCCAAAACTCTTACAATGTAAAAAATATTTTCTGGCTTTAAATAACCTGCAAAAGTTTGATAAACTGTAAAAAAGAGCCAAGCAATCAAAAAAAATCTCTTGCTTGCTGTTATATAGATGCACTCAATGCAATTATTGCGCCCTTTATTGAGAATGCTTGCCTCGTAGGCTAGTCTTAATATATACCATTGATAGACATGTTCTTTTAGAACACAGTGCCTGGATAAACTAAATAGATGCAATTGCGTATATACTAATCATCCTCACTGAAGAATATACTGTCAGAGTTAGCTCCTCCTTAATTCCATAATTGTTCACTAGGGGTCGCTCTCCCTACACTATAAATACTGGACAACTTCTTGCCTCGTTCTCTTTTCAATTTTGCATGTCAGCGGACACATTTAAAAATGTAATCTCTCGTAGAAATCCGCGTTTTGCCCACTTGTGGGAAAACGCCGTGAAACACACATACACGTACGTACGAACTTTCACTAATATACAAATTCTTTACGTCCACACACAAACACAAATGTTGATGTCTTTGTCACTTGTAAATTTGTTGTTTAATACATTTATTTGTTTATATATATATATATATATCGGTTTTGTTTGTTTTCTTTACATCTTCGGTTGGACTCAATTTGAGTCCGCCATTTTCTTGTAGTTGGACTTTCAAGCAGGAATAAACAGCCCGTGTCCTTAATATAACAACACTCAAATCCACACGGTCCTCTACAATACAATCGATATTGTCAGTAATGCATTACAGTGGATTTTAGGAGTATGAATATAGGGGCGGGTTCTCTCTTTTTAGTGTCATGTATTCATACATCGAACCGTTAACCGCATCACCGTCAATATAATAGTGTTGACGTCTCAGGAACACACGAAACAGGATGTTCTGCTTACGAAATCTTTTTTCTTGTTTTGCAGTGAAGACATCGTACATAAAAATAACCAGTTTCGCGAGTAAACAACAGATAAATCTTTGGGAAAAAAAAGGTCGCTTTTTACCTTATTTATCTAATCAAGTATTCTTTTCTTTTTTCTTTTTTTCAGAATAAAAACGCTGTTAAGTTTTGTGAATGAATTAAAAAGTCAAGTAAACAATATTTTTAAAAGCATTTGCTATTTCAAGAAAGTATGTTCTAGGTAAGAGAACAGTGACAGGGATGAAGTTACTTTATCCCACTATTTATTTAAATGACCTTATACAAGGGTTGAAAGAAAACCAACAGAATTAATATAAGCAAAATATTCTTTTTATAACAATAATATATATGCAAAAGGGTAGAGTGAAAAGTTAGATGTCCTGCGAATATGAAGAGGTTTTTGATATATATATATATATATATATATATATATATATATATATATATATATATATATATATATATATATTTTAAAAGCAAACACTACGAACTGTGGATTTTTACTTCATCTGTCCTTTCTCTTATTTGTATATATATATATATATATATAGGTAGGTAGGTAAGTACTTCCAACGATTCGCTAAAAATGATCATACATGGTGAAAAAACGCCCAGACTTAATAAAAGCAAAGTTTTATCGTCAAAATATTGGTGTTATAACAGTTATTACTTGAAAAGACCGAATGATTTTTATGCCCATTTTTTTTTTTTTTTTAAATTCTTTTGCAAAACTTCGAAATTTGGCTTAAGAATCATTTTTACTGCATCATCATATGACCAAAATTTTTACGGGATATTTCAGCTTCTTTTGACGACGAAAAACACATTGATTTCAGTTTCTCTTGACGGCGATTGATTTAGAAATTGTCGGATTTTAATGAAACTTTCAGGACTTATCTCCAAGTGAATTAAATTATTTTTTAAATGTTTCTTTTTTAGAAAATCTTGGTAAAAGATATTTTTACTGTTACTTCCCCACACAAAAACGTATTTATTTAATTTTTTTGTTACGTTTAATTTTTATACTTGATATAAGAAAAAGTCCTCAGAGAAGTCATCAATTTGTATTTTTTTTGTATTTTTTGTTTGTTTTTTGTCAAACCGGATCCCCAGTTACTGAAAATCTGTTTTGAGTCGTAAAATAAAAAAGAATGCAATAAAATTAAGAAATTGTTTAATTAGAAAATCTTCCATTTGCTTTTATGAATAAAATATATAGACAGAAAAAAATTTCGATGAATAATGAATTTTTATAAAAATCGTTTTCATATTTTTTAAATTTTAATTAGAATAATTAAGTTTTAAAGCTTAAAATTCTGAATTAGTTTGTAGCGTTCAACTGATGCTATTATTAAATAAAAACTATTTACTAATCATAAATGGAAAAACTTACAATTCAGCAACTCCCAGTATTTTAAAAATATTTTTGTGTGTGTGTGTGTGTGTGTGTGTGTGTGTGTGTGTGTGTGTATGTATGTATGTGTGTATGTGTATAAACGTGCCGATTTTTTTAAATTACGGATGCCCATACACGTCATTATCGTAAAGTAAGAGTAGTAAGTATAGTACATTAAAAAAATATTGATATTTTCTAACTTTTCCTCAACAAGCATCATCGTAAGTAAAACTATAAAACAAAGTACATAAAATTCAATAAAATATTAGAATACTTAAAATATTTAAAATTTTATAGATTATTGAGTTGTTAAAAATTATTTCGAAAAGACGTTTATGTTGTATCAATTTAATTTTATGTAATTTTATTTATTTAAATCTCACGGTCATCAGGTTACACTTGTTGAGAATACGAAAGCTTCCAAAACAAAAATAGCCAATCTGAGCTAATTTAGAGGCACAGGAAATAAAAATGATATTCAAAGTTGTTGATTGGCTCCAAATTTCAAGGTACATTTCTAGTCTTATATGAATATTTCATCAAAATTGTTATCCTTGCCAGATTAATTATCATTCTCCTAATAACCTTATTAGATATGATTATTCTCCTTTCCACTCAGGTTTTCAAACATTTAACTGATCTGTGAAAAATGTCCTGTGAATGTCTGATCAAAGCCGATAACGAGTGTGTGGCGCAGTGAGTTTGACATCTTAAAAGCGAAATATAATGTGGCGGACTTCACCAAATTAATTTAACTTTAGTTTATGAAACAGGGCTGACGCAGAAAAGGATAAGCAAAAGACATTGTTACACATAAAATATGTATTTAACAAGATGTACAATATCAAAGAACGATGTGAAAGAAAGCATGCATTTAAGTAAGAAAATGTTTAAATAATCAAGAGTTGTCTCTCTTTAACTGTTATTTTAGTGTTACAAAGTTCACTGGAAGAATGTTCACGAGAGTCTCTTGTAATGATTGTTCTTAAAAGGTTTTGCTATGTAAAAAAAATATGTGAGTATATACAAGGTATGTTCAGCATGTGAGTGGTGTGTGTGAGTGAGAAGATTGGCGCTTGGTTTCAACTGTCGTGGATTCGTTTGGCAGCTGAATTCTCACTAATTAGCTAAGAAAATTGCAATGCCCATGATTTGTATAGAACCAATCGATCATGCCACTGATTTCTACTTCTGCATGTTGCCTCCAATTGCTAAGAGATTGTCAAAGAAAAAGAAATATCCAAACATTCTATGAACATTACGTCTTCTTTTCTATAATGAAGATATACCAGTTCCAGAAGCATCAGGATCGTATAAAACTGAGTCAGATGAATTTGAAGAGAAGGAAAAACCTCAGAGCCTGAACC